TTGATTTATGTTATGTTTGTAAAGATTTATTTTTGTTTTAGTTAAAGGGATATTGTTTAAAATACATGCATTTGCAGATTATTATTTTTGATTGATTGATTACGTTCATGTTCTTATTTTACAAATAAATCAGACGTTACTCAGCAGTTACTCAGTACTTGAGTAGTTTTTTCACCAAATACTCTTTTACTCTTACTCAAGTAATTATTTGGATGACTACATTTTACTTTTATTTGAGTAATATTGTTCTGAAGTATCAGTACTCTTACTTGAGTACAATATTTGGCTACTCTACTCACCTCTGGTCACGTGCCACTAACACTCTACCCTCTGAGTAAATCATTCAAAATTTCTATATGCCATCCAACCTTTGGGAAGCGACTTACCTAGAACTGGAAAAAACAAAATTGTTGACATGAACCTTGGCTTAGAATTTTATAGGATTTATTCAAATCCTTTTTCTGCTGCTTGAAACAATGAAAGCTGCTATTTTTGTTTTGGTAATACTTATCCTGGAGATTGTTGCATGTATGTATGTTTGCTCAGATGCATACTAGTAGGTAACATTTAAAGACTAGTGAATTAGTAGCACAACACTCTGCAAGATTAAACCTCCAGTGTCTAAATGTGTGCGGGAAGCTTCTCTGGACTAATTAAGGCTACATCTAAATTTACACCAGATTAATTCATGCTTGTGCCATCCCAAAAATACCCTGTCAAAATCTAGGAAACAAGGACAGTGACTTTGATAACATGTTTGTTATCAAACCTGTTGGTTTCAAACACACGAGCACCTTTGGTTGAAAGGTTTCTGTATTAGTCCTGTTAGGAAACATCCAGATTCCAAAGCGTCTGATCCTCTTACATCACCACCAAACACCCAGTTTTTATCTCTGACCCCATACAAACAAATTCAATCACATCAAACACACACACAGAGCACACACACACAATAAACACAATGTCCCTGCCAGATCACTTAATCATGTCTCTCCAGAATATCCTGAGAATTGAATGTGTTTTTTTGTCGTTTGTCTGAGGGCGAGGTGCAAGCAAAACAGGTTACATCACATCGTAGAGAGGATGGCTCATACCCCCAACACACACCCACATGCACAGATACACAGACAGAGCCCTGTAGGTCTGAGGATGCTCCACTCACAGATGGTGAGAGGACGGCAAAGCAAAGGCAGATGGTTCTCCTCTCCTCTCCTCTCCTCTCCTCTCCTCTCCTCTCCTCTCCTCAGTGACCATAATACAAATGCTGGCAAAACAGGTCCAAGATTCAAGATCTGCAGCCATGCCGATAATTTGGATTCTTCCTTTAATGCAAAGACATTTCTTCTGACTCACTTTTTGAAAACAAAACTACTACAAAGCACCATTCAGCAATATTCAACAATGATTTGAAAAGTGACAAATGCACGATGGAAACTTGTTGCTGCTGTAACATATGTAGCTGCTGGCCTCCTCTCAGATCCATGACACAGTCATCCAACTATACATCACCCTCTGATGAGAAAACAAAGCTAATACGAGGCCAGTGGTGGCGGCACTATTGTGCATTACGTAACAGTACTGTCCCGTCCCACTAACACTCTACCCTCAGAGTAAATCATTCAAACAGCAGAATGAGATCCCATCTGCCCTGTGTGCAGGACATAATTGTCATGCAGGAGTGTGTGTACATGTGTTTCTTTGTACGCTAACCTTGCCTTACCTTTGAGCAGCCGTGCGTGGACGTGGTCGGTGCTGACGCAGGAAGAGAGAAACATCCTGGAACAGAAGGCAGTGAGATGAGACAGCCAGCTCACTCTGAGTTAATGGGTATGAGGAGGAGGATTTCTCAAATAAAAAAATTCAGGCGAGGACAAGAGAGGTTTAGAAATGAAGCAATCATACATGAATGTCTTACCTATATAGTACATATAACCACAAAAGGATGCCATTATGTAAACACTGCCCCTGTGTACCGGAGACACAGTCCCCAGTGGAGAAACATTCTCTCTGTGTAGGCCTCTTTCACAATGCTGTGAAATACCTAAGTTGCGCTGTGTCTGACGTGATCAGGGTGTGTGCGTGGATAACACAGTTCCTGTAAGGGTCAAACAGCCACTGAAATTAACATGAGTGCAAGAACTCCTGATCCGTTCTGCACCTTGGCTTCAGGTCCAGTGCAAAAACACTGTTAGGTAACAGCAGACACTGTGTGGAAAACAGCAGCAGCAACAGAGATCGGAATTAATCATTCTGTGTTATAGAGAGCAGAGCAGGCCATATCGCTTCTGTAAGTGGTGTTATGTAATGGTTTCTCACTGTACTCACTCGGGGTAATCAGTGATTAATTAATTAATGGTGTTAATCAGCTGAGGCCAACATCGCCCATACAGGCTTCCCTCTGAGTTTCACTTACAGTAGATTCCCATGGCAGCAAGCCCACCCGAACACACAGGTTTATGCTGCAGGCATCGCAGAACATGAATTAATCTGTAGAAGTGATAATAAGTACACAGTCAGAGGAGAAGCAAACTATAACACAAAACCCACAGCTTTGCCCTCATTTCCTCTTACGTCCATTCAGATGTTTTGATAACACGCAGCTGGTCCAGACCCCGCAGCAGTCTGGTTTAAATATCGAGTGAAGCTGGTCTTGCCAGCAGGACCAGTCTTGGTGACGGAAAGTGGCGGGCACTGTGTGATGTTGTGAGCATGGAAAAACTGGATTTAAGGGGCAGGAAGGTAAAGGGGGAGCCGTGTTCTGCTGTAGATTCAACACTGATTCCTCTCTGGCATTTGTAGAATCAGAACTTCATAAACCCCCCACTGATACAGACCATTACAGCGAGCAATAAAACACAAAGACTCCCCTTCAGAGGATGGACTGCAAGCGCTAAAAGCATGGGCTGATTATGAGACAATAGGCCCGTTTCCACCGCAGAAACTTCGGGGTAATTTTACGGGGCCGGGGCCATTGGTGCGTGTCTCCACCGCAGGAACCACCCCCGAAGGACAGAGTTCCGGAACTTTTACAGGGGCTAAACAAGTCCCTGCCTCAGAGTAGGTACTCAGAACAGCCCCAAAAGACTCCTAGCTGGGGCCTGGGGATTACTTGGTGCTGATTAGATATACTCAAGGCGGGATGTGACGTTAACAGAAAGCAACAAAATAGCCGGCATTTTTAAAACTCAGCAGACGAGGGTTAGCTTGTTCATATAGCTTCCACCGCCATGTAAAAAAACTCACTAAATGGCCCGTGAAATTTTTTTTTCTCCAGCGGATATCTTAGTTACAACATGATTGAGCCAGCAAAGAAGTTTTGCGTTGCCATGTGTGGTATTTATTCAGTTTTGGGAAATCATGATGTCTAGAAAGCATCAGCTGACAGGGACAGCTAACAGCAGCAGCAAAGCTAACATCAGGACGTCATCTGTTAAAAGCCTCCCGTTGTCGGATACGACATGAAACTACTCCAGTTAGCTCAATCATGTTGTAACCAAGACATCCGCTGGAAAAAATATTTTTTTCACAGCCATTTAGTGAGTTATTACAGACACCGCTATCGGCTAACAGCTAACAGCGTCAACCTCGGTCAAAATGGTCGCACAACAATTACGTCACATCCAGAGCCCGTAACTTTACAGGAACCCTCCTCTGACTCCGCTCTCTAGTGGAGACACGGCGGTTGAGAGTGCCAAGCGAGAGGACGTTCCTGTAGTAGTTCCTGCCCCCCAAATAGTACCAGGAACTTCTTCAGTGGAAACGGGCCTAATGGGCCCCTGGGTACAGATATGCAAAGGGCCCCACCACCTCTCCTACACAGGAGTAAAACACACAGACTTTGTGGTGGTTTTGCATCTTATTGTAGCTGTAATGCATGTTTTTGTGGTTGTTTTGTGTCTCTTCCTGGTAATTCTGTGTCTCATTTGGTCATATTTTGCTGCTTCAGTCATTTTGTGTGTCTTTGTAGTTGTTTTATGTCTCTTTGTGGTTGTTTATTGTCTCTTTGTGGTTGTTTTGTGTCTCTCATGGTAATTTGTGCCTTATTTGGTCATTTTTTGCTGCGTTTGAGTTATTTTGTGTCTCTTTGTGGTTGCTTTGTGTCTCTTTGTAGTTGTTTTATGTCTCTTTGTGGTTGTTTATTGTCTCTTTGTGGTTGTTTTATGTCTCTCGTGGTAATTTGTGCCTTATTTGGTCATTTTTTGCTGCTTCATAGTCATTTTGTGTCACCTTGTGGTTGCTTTGTGCCTCTTTGTAGTTGTTTTATGTCTCTTTGTGGTTGTTTTACCTGTTTTTGTAGTGATTTTGTGTCACTTTGCAGTCCCTTTGCATCTCTTTGTGGTCTTTCAGTGTCTCTTTTTGGTCATTTTGAGTATCTTCCTGATGTTAATTTGGGTGACATTTTGCAGATGGAGGCCAGGGGAGCCCTGACACTTGCCCAGTAGGCATGCTAAATAATCCATCCATGCATAAAAGTGTCTTCTTGTACAGGAATATATTGTAGGCTCTGTTTTGTGAAACAACAGTGCTGTGTGTGCAACAATGTGACCAAAAAAATCTGCCTGAGTTTGAGCATGTATTTTTCATTTCATTCAAATGTGTTTGGAGGCTTTTCCTAATCCACAGAAATGCATAACATTCGCGACCCATTAGGACTGTGTAATCCCTTGATTTAAGCTGACAGATAGAAATCATGAGTCACCAAAACTGGATTTGCAAAGGTCTCACCCAGAAACAGGAATATATCTCAGCACAGGCCACTTAGACTGGATCAAAACATGAAGAAAAGGAATTTAAGAACAGCTCTGATAATGAGATTTTTTTGAGAGAAGTGTAAGAAAGTGGCAGTGAAAGAGAGAGACAGAGAGGTGGTGGCAGTGAACTCTAATGATGGTGTGTCTGACACACTGACAGGCCAAGCCATACACAGAGCAGTCTCCTCCCCTCTCCTGCCTGGCCTATATTAACTCTCCATGGAGCTCCACCTCACAACCAGAGGCACATGGAGTAGGATAACACATCGCCAAAGCTCTGACAATACAGACACATACCCACACATATACAGGGAGGTACTGGACTGCTTTCTTCACCTGTCTGCCTGTTGAACCAGCAGTGTTGGATATACAGTATAAACTCCTCTGGATGGACTATTAACTTCTGAACCATGTTGCTCCAGAAGTCTCAGGAGGATGTCAACCTTGGTGAGTGGAATGAAGAATTCATTTTCTATAAGAGACAAGTAGAGATGAAATTGACATGTTGGTAATGTCTAGGATATTTTTGCCTAGAATCTAGGCAATAAAAAGTTAAAAAAAGAAGATCACGTGAAATGTAAATAACAGGTCTCGTGTTAGAGTGAGTTTGACGATAGTATGGAGCTTGAACACACTCTGTGTATAGGTGAAAGTGTGACAGAGTACGTCATACCACCAGCAGACGAACATACGCAAACAGCAACTTCATTCGTCACTCACGGGACGCTCAACAAACAAAACCCCTTGGATTGCAACAGTACAGTATTTGTTTGGTTTTGAACACTGCGGTAATACGGCACTAACAGTAACTCTAAGTGGCAGCAATAGATGCCACTGTCATCCCCACTAAATTACACAGTCAAAGACTTGATGTCAACTATTTGTCTGGTGATGTAACGAGGGGAGGCCTGCAGCAGAGGCTGTACTGACCCATGGTGGAGACACAATGTTAGTAATTGTTTGTGATTGGAATACAAATAAACAGAAGAGGAAGATTCATTTCTTATCTTAAAAATCTGTCTTCTCCAAAACAATCAAGGGAATTATCGCATGACCCCAACAGGTAGGGTGAGACTCAGCTTTACCTTTCCTGACCTCCGTTCGTCTGAGGCAGAGGGCAAAGACCAACTTATTGTTGCAAACAAGTGCCAATACCTTATCTACAGAGCAGGTTTTTAATTATTAATGCAGCTTTGATCAGAAGCCACCCAGTGATTCTTGTAAATGGGGGCCAGAGGTCATGGGAAGGAATCATAGCAGTGATACAGTGCTCTATGATGACAGAAAATGTTAAATAATTTAACATATAGTTTCTGACTTGTGGAGGATGTAAAGGGTCTTCTACTCCACTGAAGTGCCTTAGAGCAAAAACAAGGCACTCTCTTGACCTCTGACCTTCGGGTAAGAAAGGATAAAAACTTGGACTGATAAAGTGCATACAATTTTAGCATGATTATGCCATTATTAAGCTACAATGAAAGACAGACTTTCTTGAGCCTAGTATTTCAAGGTATTTCCTTACCTTATAATATTATAATTATAAAATAGTTAAACAAATAAAATAAACTCAGAGAGCATATCTCAGCAGGCCAAAAAAGGGCTCTAAATTACATTTATTCCACCTCCCATTTGTGCTGTCTCTGCAGAATCTACCTAATGATATGAGGTATTATGATTATTACATAACTTTATGACAGTGGGATTGATGCACCATGCAGACAAAACTTCGTCATAAACCACGAACCCCCTATCACACAAAAAATAAGAGCAGCCTTGAAAGGAAGATTGCGTCTTTTCTCAACCTTTCCCTCTCCATGTCCGGCTCCTAACCGTCTCATAAGTCTGTCGCATCACGCCCGGTCCGCATGCAGCTCCTGCTCTCCATCGCAGAGCCCATCCCGGCCTGTGTGAGGCATCTGCATTCTCGAGCACATGGGTTCCCACATGGTCTGCCTGCGGATGCTGATGCTGCGGCTGTGATGCTGCTGCCTGCCCGCCCATCCATGCCTCTGTCTCCTCACGGCATCCACACTTTGAGGGAGCACCGGCCGCAGTCTGAATGGGGGATCTGTACATAGAACATTTGTGCCTTCCTTTATCTCCTGACTTTGTTTTTGCTTGGGATGTGTAAGCCTCGTGGAGATCGGATGTGAGGGCGGACAGCTGAAAAGAGAAAACACCCTGCGCATATCCGTGCCAGATGGACCTTCTAAATCCGCAAGCCGCAGTGAGTGAGCAACTGTCCGAGCGATTTTTCTCACTGACACGATTAATGCAATGGTGCGTGCCATAATCTGTAAACAACCTTAATACCCATCAAAGGCAAAAACAAATCCGGGAAACAACAGCCTATTTTGCAAAAAGAAAAAAACATGCATGGATAAAAAAGACCAGACTATAGCCTGTGCAAAGACTCAACTGCACCTAGATATTGACTGGCCTGTAATAGGCCCGAATTTTCTGTTGCGTATGACTCAATTTTGGAAGAATGTGAACTGCTAGACTGCAAGTGGACCGAAGAAAGCATAAACACTGAGATATCTGATTGATGTAAGATAAGCAGCTGTCATAGGAACTGGTCTGCAGCATTTTGTGCAGCCTAATCACCTGTTTCCCCCCTCTTTCCTTGGATGGGCAATGAAAGGATGCAGAATATTTACCCCTATCTCTCATCATATACCTCTCTGTTCATATTTATTTAAAGGAGCTGCACAAATGATTCAAGCGCACATCTTTCTGTCTTTCTTTTCCTACTAGGATTAGCCTATGTCTAAATAGACCTACAGGATATGACAGTTATTTTGCAGCTGTGGTTGAACTTTGTTTTCAAGGTGCTATTATTACACACACACATGATCACGGGATTCTTGTTTACTCAAAGGATTATTGTCCTTTTTTCTGTGTTGTTATCATTTCATCCATAAACCTGTGAATGTTGAGCTGGATTTTGAATCTACCGCTGTCACGTGATCTCAAACTTCAGACACATGTTTTGAATGACTCCCGCTGCTTTCAATGGCTGCTCGAAGCTCCAAGTTTTAATGTAGAAACAACTGGCTCTGTGGTGCTTTGTGTTATTGATAAAATCTACAATATCTGACATATCAAGGTATGTAAGAGTGCAACAAAACTGAAAGAGTAGCTTTTCTAGTGTCTTTATTATGCGTGTTTAATTATGTATTTCACAATTACACTTTTATTTGTTAAAAATAGGCCTACTTAAAAGATGAGACAGGGATTTTTTCTGGGAATAAACTACGACCTTACCATACATGCAATTATATGTTAAAACCACTATAATGTCAATTACTGAGTAATACAGCCGGAATTCAATCAATAATAAAGCAATAAATGCTAGTTGGTTTGCTGCATCTAAATCAGCACTGCTAAAGAACCCAATACACCTGAAAATAGCCTTTGAATATTACTTATAGCTAACTGATTATTATTTAATAGTAAATTGTGTATAGTGGTTGTCATAGGCCCAAGAAATCCCTTAACATTACAGCAAAACACTTGATCATCATTATCTTGTGAAGGGCTCTCCCCGTAGTTTAGATATGTCCGATAGTTATGAAGGCAGCATCGTGACGTCACGCTGCCTTTCATAGCGCTGCCCAGCCTCAATGGCGATTGCAACAGATCCGCAGAGCTCGAGAGCGGAGCGCAGTCAAACCTCCGTCTGGGTTTGATTAAACATAAAACGAGTCTAATGCGACGAATACGGACTGTAAGTAATTTCTTCTATGTCGATTTCTGTCACTGGAATTTACATGAAATGTCATTTCAGGGTGGATTCGGGGTCGTTTTTAACGGTTTAACGGAGGTCGGCTTTGTGCTCCTTAGCGCGAGGAAAGCTGTTACCACGTAGTCAGAAGCCTCCGCCAACAACGGCTCCTTTGTTCGTGCTATCGGCGGGTTTCTCTTTAACCGTATGTTTTTAGTATTTACGAAACAGGCAGTGTGTTGAGATTATTGGTTTCCTTTATAGCATGGCGTATGTGTGTGATATTCAGTGGACACGTTAGGTGATATATTAAAACCAAGTAGACAGAGGTCGGTCAGTAGCTTGTCAGCTTGCCGATATGCTTCCATTCGTGGCTTTCTTCCGCCAGCCAGTCACAGACCCAGTGAAGGCCAAAAATAGGCGGTGTAAACATGTAAAGCCCGGAACAAAAGCTGATTTTCTTTGATGTGTGGCGTGTAAATATCCTTGTGGGTGTTTATCTTAATTTACGTCAACCCTCTGTGTTGTGTCTGAATTTTATCGATACCCAGAAACCGGACTAGCAAGCGCCTAAACCGGGCGGGGGAGGGTTAGTTTCCATTAATGATACCACGTTTGAACTGAAGCCGGTGAAAGCACAGTGAATGGGGATTTCTTGTTTGTATGCTGCTTTTGTGAAATCCCAAAAATGTTTTAAACATTGTAAGGGTGAGGTTTCTGTGCAACATTTATGGAAATGTATTGCGAAACGGCAAACTTTAAACTGCTTTCTCTTGCACTATTTACATTTTTCTTTCCTCTTTCTGTTTTCTCTTGTCTTTCAGGTTATACCCAAGTAAAATGGAGGATAGTTTTGATTGCGACTGTGGCGAGCTTGAGCCACCTGATCATTGATGGTGTAAAATTACCTTGAAGACTAATAGGCCAGACTCATTTCAGTTTTATAGATCAGGTGACTTGACAGGAAAATTACACAGATAAAAATATAAACAAAAAAAGAGGAAAAAAAATCCTAAAGCTGCTCAGGACCAGTCAAACACTGAATGTATCTGCACTGTAAGGATGCAACTACATGCTTTTATAGTTTAATATAGTCTCAGTGCTTTTTAATTGGCCTCAAAGTCCATTCCATTACAGTCTATAAACACTAAAGATATCCACACATCCAGGATTGGAGGAGAAAATCAACTTTAAAATTTCCTCCCCTCATTCAAGATGGAAAGAAAGATAGACCACATATTAGCACCCTGCATTTGACAGCGACGGCTGGACAGGGGGGATTCAGTAGTCGTCTGTGCAGGGGTCAGTCAGCTCAGCCACTGGAGCAGTGGGGGAATTTTCAGATAAATTCCTCTGTCAGTGATAAAGTTGGACTTGAAACAGGCCATAGACCAAACGTCAGAGATAGCTGGAGCTTGGTGTTAAGGCCAAAAAACGTCGCCATGGCAGAAAAGTTTGAGTCACTCATGAACATCCACGGCTTTGACCTGGGTTCTCGCTACATGGACTTGAAGCCTCTAGGCTACGGAGGAAACGGCCTGGTGTTCTCAGCAGTTGACACAGACTGTGACAAGCGTGTGGCCGTGAAGAAAATTATCTTGACCGATCCCCAGAGTGTGAAGCATGCCCTGCGGGAAATCAAGATTATCAGACGCCTTGACCATGACAACATTGTCAAGGTAAGCAGCAAAGGTCTTCTCAAAGCAGCAGAGAGTGTTTATCTGATTTTCTGGAGTTACAAAATAATTTATGCACAATTCTGATCCTTTTTTTATGTCACCAGGTGTTTGAAACTTTGGGCCCCAACGGTCGCAGGCTAACAGAGGACGTGGTGTCCCTGACAGAGGTCAACTCAGTCTACATTGTGCAAGAGTACATGGAGACAGATCTGTGTCAGCTGCTAGAGCGGGGCCTTCTGTCTGAGGGCCACGCTAGGCTCTTCATGTACCAGCTCCTCCGGGGCCTCAAGTACATCCACTCTGCCAATGTGCTGCACCGCGACCTCAAGCCGGCCAACCTATTTGTCAACACAGAGGACCTGGTACTGAAGATTGGGGACTTTGGGCTGGCCCGAATCATGGACCCACACTACTCTCACAAGGTAGGGCCAGTTTCTCCGTACCTGTTTCAGTCTTGTTCGTGGAGAATATAATATTTCTGGGGTTTCATGCTGAGCAGTGTGTTGAAGCACTGCATACACTACAGCCTCAAGAAAAGAAGACAGGTTTGCACACTTTCTGCTCAACGATGAGTGCTTTGTTGCTCTGACACGCAATGTTTACGTTATTCCTCAGTAATGTGGTGCCCCCCAGGGTGACGCAGTTTCACAGCAGGAAGTAAACAAGACGGGATGTGGTTCCTGTAGGTAACGCCTCCGTTTCCTTGTTAGGAGAAGTGAGGCTGTGGAAAACACAACCATGGGAACTGTTTTTTTTTTTTTTTTTAACTCATTTGCAAGTATATACAGCTAGACGTGAAGATGGGCTCAGTTCCAAGACTAAATATACAAATGAGTGGGTTCATGATAATGTGGCATAACAAAGATGAAGATAATCCTTATTCCCAGGTGGAAAAAAATCCAGCAAAAATTCATATGTAGCGTGCGCAACACATGAACATTTCAGCCTTGAGCCTTCATCGGCATCGCGGGGTAATGGTGAAGGCTCGAGGCTGCAGCAGGACATTCTGCATTAAAATAGATAAAGATTAATTCATATCAGAGTTTTCCCTTAGTTCCATTTGCATAAGGTCATTACTCCATTTTCACGCCTATGAGTCAAGAAAATTGGGTGTTGTTTTTTGTGTTACAGGACTTTTTCCTTCTTTCTCATCAGATGCCAGCACAATGTAAACCAAGGCATTAAAAGCCAGATGTTAACACACCAAATGTGTAAATGTATACATTATAATGTTCTTTATAACCCTGTTTTTGTTTTGTGAGGCAGTGTAATGGCAGCAATAGAGTTGGTTGCTTTTGTCTTTAGTGTAACACTATGGATTACTCTGTCTAATTGTAGCCAGGTGGAAGACCTGTATTGCCCTTGTGTGTTTCCGTCACCTTATAAAGGGATGAGGAAATTCCAGTCAAAGGCCATATGGTGTTGTGATGAGAGAAAATCTAGGTTGGGAAGTCTCTCACCTCCCTCCCTCTCTGTAGCTGCTGGATCTCTTCAGAGCACAGAGGCAGTCAGATGCTCACACGTGTCTCAGATTAGTCATTGAAGGGTCTGAAGTGGGCTCACGTGATGTGATCCCTTCGGCTGGCAAAGCCTCATTCATATCCCTTACACAGCCAGGGTCCTGCCATAGCATACATCCCTCTGAGACAGACTTACACACACGTGTTTATCAGAACTGCTCATTTTCAGCTCACCACCACTACGAAGTTTGTGTAGTCTTGTCACATTTTCAGCTATGAGTGACTTCTATATTTTCATATGAGTCATATCTTAGGTGGAGACAATAGCTCTCTCTGCAATATGAACAGGAAGGCGAGGGCTCGTAGTTGCCGGGAAGAAGTGAGAGTTTCTCACAGTCACTGTAGCCACCCACCCAGCGTGACTGCACTCCTCCCTTACAGCAGGGTTTGCCGTGTGGGCTTTTTTCCCTCGATATAAGCAGTTTTTCCTGATAGGAAACATGCAGGCAAGTGGGTATTGAAAAGCTGCTTGACTGGGGTCAGCTCTCTTGTGTTTGACTATTGTCTGGCATAGTGCTGCAGCAGACTACTGCTGCTGAGTTTTTGTCAAGGATACAAATGCTATAGTCAGACTGACTTTAATAGGCTTTGACCCTGCTCTCCTTTCCAAACAGTGTTGCTGTGTTTTGTCTGTCTCTACTATGATAACAATAGTGGTGTGGCAGGGGGAGGGAGAACACTGATATCTCAACCAGCCACTTGTTTCATGGCACCTATAGTCATCTGATAGAGTGTGTGTCTAGTGCCTCGCACCAAATGAGGCTTGTTTAAAAATGAACCCATCACCCTCACATGACATTAGGGAGCCCAGTGGCATTTGGAGGCGTTAAAAAAGCAGTTGCTTTCACTGCTGGCCGGACATTAGGGCAGAGTCACTGAGGGCAAATTTGCTTTCACAACCACCCTTTACCTCCAGTAGACTGGGTGAGGCAGAGCAGCTGGGTGGCTGAGTGCATGTTATTTGAATAACGTTGTTTCTAAATAAAGAAGCGCTCTTGCCAATGAACCTCAGTTTCTGGCGTTGTTTCAGTAACGTGGTGTATGTATTCATGCATCAGTGGATTAGGCACAAGGCATTTGTCCCACCTTTTCCTCCCACGTTCCTGTATTTTGTATTGCTTGGATTAATGAAATATAACTCCTCATGATTCCCTTCAGGCTTTTATTAATCTTGCATGGCTTTGTTATAAGTATGCAGCGTCAAGCTTGCCAAGAGTACCTGTGTTTCTGCGATATCTTTCCATTTGTTTTGAGAAAGCAGACCGTTTCTGCCTGTGTGAACCATAATCCCGGCCCTCGTAATGGCACAGGATCAAGAATGGCAAGAATTCACGTGCACTCATCCAAACTCTCCAATCCTGATTCCCCTCCTTTTTCGCAGCCAGCTCTTTGTCTTGTTGTGGGAGCCTTGCTCAGGGCTTTACTTGAAGCTGATCTCAAGCTTGTGTTCATTTCCAGTTGTTGCCCGCCCTTTTAACGAAAGAAAGAAAGGGCACAGTGTATATAACACTCACCCACTTAGGTTTAGCATTGGTTGGGCTTAAGCAAGCTGCTTTTGGTTTTAAATGAGGCTAGCTGAGGCTGTAAACTACTTCAGGATAGTGTAACACATTTAATGTGTGCCTTAGCTAAGTGATTTCACATCTGCTCAGTGAGACAACATGTTGTTTAGAGGGGAGATCCAGTCTAGTTTTCACATCACATCATCTCACTTTCAGATCATTTGCTTTAAAGGTTAACAAACCTGTTATTACATTTTATTCATCTTTTGGAATGAAGACAACAGGTGCTAGACAAAGTTGTGTGGGGCATACAGACAATTCATCGATGTAGAAAATGGTCTATTTTACATGTTAGTACAAGTGAAAGTAGTTGCACTAATACAAGCTTGGAAAACTCTTGCGGCTGCTTGTGGCTCAGCATAAAATTCAGGAATTTGTGATGTTGAAGAGATAATAACAGGGGAATTTTCAGGAATGTTATATGAAAGAAGAGGGGGGTGGAGGGTTCACAGAGGTCCTTTCTTCCACACAAGCATCCAGCACAACACTAGTTTGACCCACTTATTCAGCCAGCAACAGAGCTGTCTGGCACCAGACTGCACAGGATCCAACAAGAGTCGACTTAGGGCTTAATGAGTTTCAGAGTTGTGGTTTCTCCTGTTTCCACAATCTAAAAAAATATCCTGCAGACATTTGCATTTGCATTTAACCACAGTTTTATCATGGAACCAAAAGTAGCAGGAATAATGATGATTAGCCATTGGACATATGGACCACATTAATGGATAAACAATTTATTCCAATGTGTTGTGAGACTGCAGTGAGGCTCCTCTCACCCTGCTATTTATAGTGATTTGTCTGTGGAATGATTCTCGTGTGGGTGGGTTGGTGCGCTAAGACGAAAATACATTCAGCGCCAGCAAGGAAATCTATCGTTCTCAGTCACCAGCTTCTGTGAAGCAGCACAGCTCTATTTTGCAAATGGAGGCTGGGCTGGGGATGATCTCACGGACTCTTCTCCAGCCACCTTTACCGACATCTGGTCAGATCTGTTGAAGGTTGCTGTGACTAACCACAGCCAGACGCACTGAATGAGACTTTTATGAGTCACTAAATGTCAGCCCTGTCTGATCTAGATCAAGCGGTTAAGTAATGCACCAACAGTTGCCAGAGGTATTGAGATACTTTAATTCTGTCGTTCCTGTCTTTGTGGCAGGTGGTTGACTTAGAGATCAGTAAGAGTAAGAGGTGAGCTGCAGTGTTTACCTAATGCACTTTTATGCCCTCAGCTGGTAGCAAACTCTTATCCGCTCCCTTTAGTTCAGAGTCCATCGTACTCAGAATTGTCCTTACGCAATGACCCAACACTCTTTCAAGTCAACCTAATCTAAATCTGTCGCAATGCTCTGCTAAGATGGTTGCATGTATTTCTCCACTGAAACCACATTCACATAGGTCAGACAATTTACTGGCTTTTTCTCACAGTGGCTGCCGCACAGCCTTGCAAGTTTCAGTCAGTAGGCGTGACCTGGTGTCTTGTAATTCCCCTTGACCTCCTCACAAGTTTCTTGGTGAAAGCCACTGCTAGACTCAGACAAATAGATTAGCTGGTTATCTGAAGGAGGTAGTCACATCTACTGTCTACATTGCATGTCATTCATAGGCTCATCAAACAAGGGCGTGCATGGCAGTGATACACTTCAGGATAGTGTGACATAGAGCATCTGCGGCCAACTTAGGACAGAAACACGAGACTGGATCAGTGGTGAGCTGACCATTTTGGTCTCACCACGAGCTACCACTGCATGTGGGGGAGAGAGAGGGCAGCAAGGGTGTTGTTTTACATCCTCCCATCCCCCAATGTCCCCCCGTGTGTGTGTGTGTGTGTGTGTGTGGGCGCGCGCACACTTACTGTCCTCCTGTTCCTGTGAGTAGCCAGGTCCTGTGTGAGAGTGGAGTGCAGATGAGTGTCACTAGTGTGTCACTGGTGAGTAGAGAGTGTGGCAACGGGGGATTATCCTGCGCTCTCAGACTGCTGACAGGGCCTGCACGTGTCTGATCTCCCCCTTTTCTCTCTGGGGTCTTTGTCTCCATGCTGTGTTGCGTACGTGACTGGCACAGAGCGGGTCCGTCAAGGAGGCGGCACAGGGGGTTATCAAGTTTAGCATGGCCCAGCAGGCATGGTGTGTTCGGGGACTGGTGTTAACAGCGGTGTTGTGTGGCAAATGTGGAGGCTCATAAAATCATGTTCATCATATTTATCTGTCACTGAGGGGAACTTATTTTTCAAAATCAGCCTCTTAAACTGTAAATGAGCGCCGCATGAGGGCCCAGCAGTTCATAAACGAGGGTAGTTTATGGAAAATCTGGTTGTGAGTCTCGTTAATGCACCTTCCCCCAAGAGTCCCACTAAATATGCCTTGTCCCCTCCTATCACAGGGCCATCTCTCTGAAGGTCTGGTCACCAAGTGGTATAGGTCTCCTCGCCTGCTGCTCTCTCCCAACAACTACACCAAAGCCATCGACATGTGGGCCGCTGGCTGCATCTTTGCGGAGATGCTCACAGGGAAAACGCTCTTTGCAGGTAAATGTTGACTCAGTCTCTCCTGTCTGACTCACTGTAACACCTCATATACAAACACACTGGCAGGCAGTCTTTAAAGCAGGTTGGGTGACTCTGGTGAGGTAAATATGGAGCATTGGGCTGGTGAGGCATATGTTCATCCTGCTAGTCGGTGTCTTTGTTTAGAGCAGACTAAGAATAGGCCCTGGGTCAGTCTGCTTGTCCGATCTTTATTGCTCTCCTTTGCAACTCCAGCTGGAGATGGGAGAGCCTGACTGCTGTTATTTTTCGAAAGTGCCCCGAGCTGAACAAATAACATCTCTGTTCTCATGATCTGCTGCACTTGGCCTCACTCAAAATAAACTCACGCAGTCATGCTGATGTTGAAAGTTGTATAACTCTTCAAGGAAAGCACCTGATGTGTGTCTGCCTGGTGATTTTAGGAGCCCATGAACTGGAGCAGATGCAGCTGATCTTGGAGTCCATTCCTGTACTACGAGAGGAAGACCGCCAGGAGCTTCACAGCGTCATCCCCGTCTTCATCCGCAACGACATGTCCATGCCTCATACACCGCTGGCCAAGCTGCTGCCTGACATTAGTCCCCAGGGTGAGTACCACTTACTTTTTCATTCAGAGGCACGCTCATGAACACAGACCAGAGGTAGGGGTCAGGGTCTTACCTCTCATAAATCACAATCTCAATGTCCTCCTTCTCTGCAGCCCTGGATTTTCTGGAGAAGATCCTGACCTTCAACCCCATGGATCGTCTCACTGCAGAGGAGGCCCTGGCCCACCCCTATATGGCTGACTACTCCTTCCCCCTTGACGAGCCTGTCTCTCTGCACCCCTTCCACATTGAGGATGAAGTAGATGATATCCTGCTCATGGACCAGAGCCACAGCCACACCTGGGACAGGTATCCTTGTTTACTTATTCCTCTCAAACACCTGCTTACTGTGTCCAGGCTTAGATACGCAAATGTATATATTTGTCTTGTGTGACCTTAGATACAGTGGAGAGTAGTTTGCTTTCCTCTCTGCTAGCTAAGCAGCAGTAATATAAATAAACGGGTCACCTGACCAGAAAATGAACTAATTCTGAACATAGGTTTTTCTGAATTAGTTTAGTGGTTTGTTTGCAGAGTTGGTTCCTGTACTGGAGTCTTTTTGAGTCGTTCTGTGTATCTGTTTTTGTGTACTGAAGTCTCTCTCTTACAATCTCCATCAGGTATCATGAGAGCCAGCTGTCCGAGGTTGACTGGCACTTGCATAGTACCCACGACCCAGACGAAGTTCAGGTTGACCCAAGGGCTCTCTCTGATGTAACAGACGAGGAGGAGGTTCAGGTGTGTTTTGAATTTTGAAATAAACATCCACATACTCCAAAACAACAGTTAGCTTCTTCTTGTTTACTTCTATTCACCTCAAAGATAATTTTAAGGCTTACTGTAGAGTTTTGTCTCGGTCCTGACTGACTTGAATTCATTTTTTGATGATAACAAAGGCTAAATGGTGGCTGTTGTCCGTTTCCAGGTGGATCCTCGTAAATATGCTGATGTAGATCGGGAGAAGTTCCTGGATGAGCCGTCCTTCGACTACTCAACTCTGTTCCAGCCAGAGGGATCCTGGCAGGACGACGACCACCACGAGAACAAATACTGTGACTTGCAGTGTAGCCACACCTGTAACTACAAGGCCGTGTCGCCCTCCTACCTGGACAACCTCATCTGGAGGGACAGTGAAGTCAACCACTACTACGAACCCAAGCTCATCATCGACCTCTCCAATTGGAAGGAGCAGCAGAGCAAGGAGAAGGCGGACCGCAAGGCCAAGAGCAAATGTGAGAAGAACGGGCTGGTGAAGGCTCAGATCGCGCTGCAGGAGATCGAGAAGACCCAGAGTCCAGTGGAGAAGGACAGCGAGCAGGAGAAACACCAGACAGAGAAGCCTCAAAGCCAGCCGAGCCAAGGCTTTGACTTCGACTCCTTCATCGCCAGCACCATTAAACTGAGCCTGCAGCCGGAGCCCTGTCAGGAGGTGGCCCTGCTCAACGAGGTGGGCCTCCTGAACGAGCTCAACTCTTCCGTTTCCCAGCTGGAGGCTCCCCGCTCAGGCTCCATGTCCAAGTCCATAAGTCAGGAGAAGGAGGAGAAGTGCCTGGTAAACCTCGCCCAGTTAGGCGGAGGAGGGCTGGGAGTCGTCGGGGACGGCATCTGGCCCGCTCACCCCTGGGAGAGCTTCAGCTCCAGGGATAGAGTCGGGGAGAACGGCTGTCTGATAGATGAAGTGTGCTGGGACATTCGCAAAGAGGACCAGCTCCAGAAGGAGAGCACTTACACCAGCTACCTGGACCGCCTGTTCAGCCGGAAGGAAGAGGGCGCCGGAGAGACTGTGGCCGGCCCGGAGACGGAGCCCTCGGAAGTGAGAGAGCTGGACGAGAGCTTCCTCGGCAGGAGCGCAGAGATTGTGCTTAATGTGCAGCTGGACTCTCTGGCCCTGCCTCGCTTTGACAGCACCGATGACTTGCCTCTGAAATCCATCCAGGCGTCCCTCACCCCCTGCGCTGTCAAATGCTCCCCACAGATTGCCCACAAAACATACAGCAGCATCTTCAAGCATCTTAATTAATAAGAAATATATATATCCTCCCCTCACAGTGCAAAATCTAGGCAGTTTTGTTTTTATGTTGTTGGTTTTTTTAAAAAAATAATATGGTATATTATTGAACTTGAATCATTTCATACCTTTTTTATTATGGTTACTTTTATTTTATTTTTTTGTTAGTTTTTTTAAGAGTTGAACAGGATGATTTATTATATTTAAAGAGTTTTGGTCATCACTCTGAGCCTTGATCACCAGGCCTTCATGGGTTAATGTCTACGCCCTCATTGCGAAACTGGCATGTCACTCACACACTTAAGTACTGTATACGATCGGAACGCAGGAGAGAAGTAGCTAGAAGACAGAAGGATGGTAAGAGAGGTGTATGGATTTAGGAGGGAGGGTTTGGCTGGTCGGGTGTGATGTAAGGAAGGACGGCAGACGCTGATGTTGCTGTAGGCATTTAAAGTGCTTTCAAACAGCCTTTCCTTTGACAGGATTCAAACGTAACAAAAGATGGGATGCCCTTTTTTTTTTCCTTTTACGACTTTGACATTTTTCCCCTGAAGAAAGCTTCCTTAATGACCCTTTTCATACTGTAAATCTGACACATGATGCCAGCAGCAACCATTATCGTAGGCGTTAATGTAAATGTGTTATCTACCTCAAGGTAACAGCCGCGAGAGACACTCGAAGCCGCACTAGTGCTTTACACACATGACCATCCTCATACCATTAAATGAAGTGGTCGCGTAGATGAAATCTGTCTCACTTTAGCATTTAACATAGTGAGGTGTTTCAGTAATCATTATTTATTTCTAGCAGATGTGCGATATTTATTTTATCAAAAATGTGTTATTTCAATGTGATTATTGAAGATTGAGGAGTTGGACAGACTTCCATTTTCATTTCGGCACTATATGGGCGTGTGAGTGTTCTTTTGTTTTATGGTAGGATGCAAATTCATCTGTTATGTTTCTAAAAAGAAGTCGAGGCTTTCCATTTTTCCACCAATATTGTCCGAAAAGGATGTCATCGTTTTTTGTTCATTTTGTTTTTATTTTTTATTTATAGGTGCGTTCTGTCTTTAATGGAAAAACTGCTTTGTGGTTTAAAGAAGCGCCTAAAAGTCTTAATTTTTTATCTAAATGTAATGTTTAAAAAAAAAAAAAAACGCGTGCATGGAGGCAAGAGAAAGGTACATTTAAAGTAAAGTTAATGGTGAGTATAATGTACGTCAGTTTTAATTGTACGTTTTTTGTTAAATTTCTATGTACTTTTTCCAGGCAAGCATGATGAATTAGGTTAAGGTGTAGCATGTAGAACACTTATGGACTTTTTTTTGTAATCATTGGTTCCCCTGTTCTACAAAATATCTCGAAATAAAATTACTGGCAAAGAGTTTAAGCTTGTGTCTCTCCTTTCTTATTTGTCAGGGATGTCTCTGACCTCATACACTCAGTTAAGCGGTGTTTTGTAACTTAACTTCAACACAGCATGTCCACAGTAGCCTTCTTGGCGTAGAGGAAGTGCTGACTATGGTGCCGCCACCTCTAGACTCCAATTTTAATGTCCAAGTAAGCATACTAAATTACACTGAGAGCGCCGGGGACACGAGCTTTGAATCAACAGCTAAATGTAGCTCTGGCTCAGACCGCCATATTTCAGAGCTGTCATCTTGGTACACAGATTTCCCACCTGCTTGTAGGTGTGAGACGCTGCAGAGACATGAGCAGGATTACATAACAAATGTGTACATTTTGATATTTTTGCTGTTTGCTATGTTATACAATAGTGATGTATTTGTCCAAAAAAAAGTTGTGGAAACAGTCCCATCACACGCACACTTGTGTATTTCTGAACTTCTCTACACTTAAATTGCGTGAGAGAGAACTCAATAAGTGTGAGGAAATAATTCCTGCAGGTTATGGTGATATTGTCAAAGTCACTTTTAGGATCATGGGGAGTCATCAGTCAGCACAAGAATTACTTTTTTGGGGCACTATAGTGTTGTATTTACTCAGTAAAGCATATAGCCTCAGGTTTCCCTGTATTATATGATCTTCAAATATTGAGATAACATGACATTTTGGAACTGAGGTGCATTGTTTTTTTCAAAATGAGCGCAAAAAGGGGGAAAGCAGACTTTTTTGGCTTACACATAAAAGTGGTAATTCCAAGCTGTTAACCTTTTCAACTATAATTAAAACAGGCTGCATTCAAGTTAAAGTATTTATGAGCAAAACATACTTGAGGATAGTCAGTTTATTATGAATTATTATGACTGGTGCATCAACATGTAAGCAGCATTAATGTAGCGGGTCGAGGTGGGGACAAACTAACCACACTGGTGGGGAGTGTAAAGTGGAAACAGACAAGTACTGCAAAGTAGGGAAATTATCAAATTGGATTTTAGTCATTTCCAGGTCTTGATAAGTCTATCCCAGCTGACATTAGGTGAGAGGTGGGGTACGCCCTGGACAGGTCACCAGACTATCACAGGGCTGATACACAGAGACAGACAACCATTCACACTCACATTCACACCTACGGGCAATTTAGAGACACCAATTAACCTGCATGTCTTTGAACTGTGGGAGGAAGCTGGAGTACCTGGAGAAAACCCACACTGACATGGGGAGAACATGCAAACTCCACACAGAGGGGCTCCCCCACCTAAGGTTCGAACCAGGAACCCTCTTGCTGTGAGGTGACAATACTAACCATATTATTTAATATATTAAGGGAACATAATATAAGTAGCACCGTTTACTTCTTCTTTGGGCAGAGATGTTTGACAGTGGAATATTGTCCAACTTTCTGTGCAGCCACAAAGTTTTCAGAATCTACCATGAAATCTGGAGATCTGAGTCTGGAAAAGTATAGAATTATAACATGGAAAATGTGTAGGAACCCGGCATTATTGATGGTGCTGCTCTCGCAATGGCAACTGGATAGCTTCCTGTTTTTCCCAGAGCCTAGCAACTACCAACAACACAAGACACACTGCATTTTGTTTTCCACAGTTACTCCAGTTGCTCTAACGTCTGCCATGTCCATTACTGGGGATAGTAAATGCAAAGAACTCACACTGACAGTCTTTAGTAAGTGGGGATAGCCACTGATAGCTACCAGGAAGGACGAAAGTGCTAATCTCTTCCTGTTATGGTCGCACAGTGGTTGACGCACTTCCTTTGAGCCTTGAATTGAGCCTTCAGAAATGCATAGTTAAAGGGAGACTTATAGGGAAGCAATCTGAATGCAGAGGGTGTCTCTTTCCCCTTTAAACTACTACAGTGCATGTAAACTGATTATATTTTGTCTGTAAAATCTTAGTAAGCATAAAACAAAAATACTCAAGTACAAGTGTCTGAAAATGTTATGTTACTTACTTGCCACTGCTGCTGTTTTGCTCATTTAAGCATGCTGCTAACCTCTGCGGGTGACCTGCAGTGAATAACAATCAAATGTTAGGACAGATCTTCACACGATGTTTTTGGTGTCGAGGTGAACTGTTTCTGTACCAAAACGTGATCAGGACTAGTTCACGTGAGCCGATCAGGTTGGAAACTGGTTCATAATGTAAATAATTCTCTGAACAGACAGAGACAGCTCTAACCTTACAGGGAGAAAAAACTGTGGTACAAAGGTTGAAGTGGGTTGTCTCACTATAATCAGCCACAGCTGGGCTTTGGGTTGTTTCACTGCTGCTACTTCCTGCTGGGAAAAATTAGGCCAGCTCTGTGTTGTTTTTCTGCTCTCTTGGTAACAATACAATCCTGAGCCGCTGTGATTAAACCCTGCTGGAATACTCAGATGAAAGCTCAGGTACCTGATAAGAGAAGCGCCTATAAAGACTAAATGTAGGTCAAAATCAAAATGTCACATGCTATTTTTTTACTGTTTCCACTCCCAACGCCTCACATGTCCTCTGTAAACACGTTTCATATCTTTCCCGCAAGCTCCCTCCTCCCCTCAGTCTGTGTGCTCTGTCTTTTACAGAAAGATGTGATGTTTCTGATTTAATTGTCAGCATCTCCGCTCAGATGTCAACCCTCGCTTCGACATCACACAGCCGTCCTCATTACCGCCGTCATGAAACAAGCTCTTCCACCCACCTTCTCTGCTGCAACTTTATCCGCACATTCTCCTGCACCTCACACCTAATTGTGTTGTGTAGCTCTCCTACATACCCCACTTTCGCATGTGCCCTCCTCCCTTCCCCTGACTGACACTCATCCCTCGCCCCATCAGGTCTGCCCCAGGTGCCAGGCCTGTCAGGTGTTGTCAGGTTAAAAATAAAACCTCCGAACTCCAGGATAAGCAGCTCAACTCGCCACCCATCAGCTGACAGAAGCTTAACGCATTGCTTCCTAACTCAAGGTCATGATTGCTATTCTCTTTCCTGGAAGGCCAATTAAAGCTCAGTGTTGGCCATTTCAGCAAAGATCAGGAAGTGATTAAGCTCCTGCAGAATTTCCTCCAATGGAAAGCACCAAAATAACTTATAGGAGGGGATGGCCTGCTTGGCAGAGGTCTCGCAGTGTGGTTGAATAAACAAAGAGACAAAAGACTCCAACAGTTATCTGCTAAAACGTGGGGCTGCTCATTATGGCACCTCGGTGTCAGAATGTGTGTCCTTATTCAGACCCGGGTTGTGCAGAGCGCCGGATACTAAAGTTAGACCACAAAGTGACTTTATAAATAGACATCACCTCTCGGCACTTGCACTTTAAAAGCTTTAGCTACTGCCAAAGTTACAGAGCGTCCTGACCACTGACATCAGATCAGTGTATCACTTTATACGACTTCTTAGCAAACTTGCCGTTTTCCGACAGCTGATTAGGGCCAGTATAGTTAAAAAAAAAAAAAAATGAATACAGATCTCTCTGAGATTTAAGTCACAAATTTATGAGGAAAAAAGTTTGAAAAAATGTTTTGTTTTTTTTTGTTATGGAACAACATCGCCTCACTGAGCAGGATTGAATCAACCTCATCACACCACAGATGCTGAGACATTGAATGTCCAGTGAACGTCCAATCCGGATGCCACATTATGGTAAATGGACTTGTATATCTTCCAACAACTCAAAGCACTTTTACACTACATGTCACATTCACCCATCCACACACACGTTCATAAACTGGTGGCCAAGGAGGCTACACATTCACATACACTCACATTTGGGGTTCAGTATCTTGCGCAGTGATATCCGCACTGGAAGAGCCAGGGATCAATTAGTGGATGACACACTCTGCCTCCTGAGCCACAGCCACCCAGTATATCCTGGACTTTTCCTGATCAGCTGGACATGCTTCCTTGGTGTCCTACTAACTCTGAAATATGATGTTAACCCGAACGGGCCTATTCAGTTACCCTGCTAAAGTTAATGTGCACAGTGTGCATTCAGCAGCTTTATTACATCCTAAAAATGAAAATAATAAGTCAACTAGGTATAAAAGCCCAGACACGCCAAACTGACATTATCATTTTCATCATTATCACAACTAGTGGCGACTAAGGCCGACTGTCTTGTCACCTTAGTTGCACTTCAACATGTTGCAAAGACTTCAGCCAACAGTCAACTAACACGAATGATCTCTGTCTGTGTGAGAGGGAATAACTCTCCATACCAGCAGGCAGTGATGGTCTGTATTCATCATTAAAAAAAGTAAACTGGAAGACAGACAGGACAAATTCAACATGCTAGTTAGCCAGTTACATACATGTGCAACTGCAAACCATTTCTGCTAAAAAGCTCAATAGCTAAAAACACAATCTTTCCTTATATAACAAATTTGTTTCGATCCCTCTTCTTGACTTTATCTGTTTGTTTACTGCTCCTTACTTCTGTTTCTCTTCTCGTGCATTAAGTTGAACTGCCAATCAGATTGATTTTATTCACCGCTGGGCTCTGCTGACTCTGAGACCGATTCAACATGCTGAACTGGTCGGAAAAAAGCAGACAAGGGCCAGCTTGTGCCAACGGTGTGGGATTCACCACAAGAACTAGGGCAACAGACACTCACTAACAGCCTGACATTGACTGTTGGCTTGTTGTGTCAGGGCCCTAAAAGTAAGAAGCCAACAATGCCTCACACGGGACACAAACCTCAGTCTCCTGGGTGAAAATCCTGTGCTTGACCCATTAATCCACCACAACTTCCTCCACAAGTGGAATTTGTCACTCATTACTATGTCTATGTCTACACTACGTCACCAAACTTTCTGGCAGAAAGGCATTTTTCTCATACATTTGTGAATGTAATCGAAGAGAGTTTTTTTCTTTTAAATTTACCACTTTAATTTTAAAATTAGATTTTAAAAAAGTTTTTTTCACAGAATAATACCTCACTGAACAGACATAGTTAGCGACTGTGGAGAATTTAGCGGCTAAAGAGCCACA